CTCTCTCTCTCTCTCTCTCTCTCTCTCTCTCTCCCCCCCAAAAAGAAAAGAAAAGAACCGGAACCAGTCTTCCCTGCCCACTTACCTATTTCACTCACTTCCTGTGCTTCCCCTTATTCCCCCCCTCTCTGGCCTCCCCGCCCTCTCCCATCCCCTTCGCCCCTCTCCCCCCTTTGCGTCCATCCCTGCTCTTCCCTCGTGCCCCCCCTCTTTCTGACATCTGCCCAAGGGGCTGTGATTTTTCACATTCTTTTTTTTATTACACCAGTTCTGAGTCAGCAGTTTGATGCTTCGGGGGAGTCTCGCGCTCCCACCCTTAAGTGGGGACATGAGACAGTCTACGCCCGTCGGCGCACATCCTTCCTTGCAAATGCACATGAGGTTTCTACCATGTCCTCACAGGTGTCTCGATGGATGGTGTTGCTATCCTTTCACGTCTTTGGGTCTCTGTTTAGCTTGTCTATGCCTGATTTTTCTGTGCTCCTATGTTTGTTTTTGGGTCAGGATGTACACGACAGGGCGTTGCTGTACTACAGACTGCTTCAGGAGGGAGTGGGGCTGGCTGAGAAAGTCATAAACCCTAAAAAGCAGGCTGTTGCAGATTTTGCAGAGTCACAGAGCAGCGAGATCAAGGACCGTATCTTCGACGAATTCAACACTCTTGCCGTGGTTTACCAAAAGGTGAGCCCAGATGAAAATGGATCCTCTTAGAAAGACTGCCAGCTTGTATCGACTCTGGTATCCCTTTTCTTCCTTGCCTGTACTCGCTCTGTACTTGCGCTGTACTTGGCCGTACTTGCACTGTGCTTGCTCTGTACCTGCTGTGTACTTTGCTCTGTACTTCCTGTGTACGTCTGTCCGACCTCCTGTGGCGCTCTCTTGTTGTTGACCGCAATCTGAAGTCCAAAACTTGGAGTCCCAGTCCCTGGACCTGCCCACCCCCTTTCTTTCTCACCATTACACAAATGATGAAGCTATTGTACCCAGGAGTCATTTTCCCTACCCCACCTTTGCCTCCACCTCCTTCCTCACCATTCTCAGCAAATGACGAGGCTATCACCGCCAGAAGACATTGCCCCTATTGCCATGATCCCAAACTGCAGACAAGCTTCATCACACCAAACTTCACGCACATGAGATGCACACTGGTAAGATATGACAACGCATCGGAAATTGTTTGGAAATTCCATGTCTTATACATCAAGTGACTCAAGTCTCATGTTTACGTGCTTGGGCCACCAAGCTTATCCACAGGTAAGTCTCCCTCTCTCTCACTCTAATCTAACCTACATACACATACCTTATTGGCACTTTCTGTGAATGTCTTCTAGTCCCCCCCCCCCCCCCCCCCCTCTCTCTCTCTCTCTCTCTCTCTCTCTCTCTCTCTCTCTCTCTCTCTCTCTCTCTCTCTCTCGTGCGCGCGTGCGTGCGCTCTCTGTGTGTCGCTCTCCCCACTCCCTCCTCCGACTTCCAACGGGTGTCCCTGCAATCGAAGTGAGGGATTTGGGTGGCAATAGCCACCTCTTATCACTCCCGACGGCGCGGTCCCCTATGCAGGCAACCCGCCAGTACATTGAGCCTGACTGCTCGACACCTTGAGCACACACAAACAATGAGAGATCACACGAATCCACACTGGAGACTAGAGATGCAAAGTCCAGATAAGCGCAGCTTGGAAAGTCCAACAAATTATTATCATATTAGACAGTTTCAGAGTTCCAGTCACCAAGTGCCCATCAGCGCAGAGTTTGACAACCCAATTCCAGCACCCTCATCTAAGGTAGGTGACTCTCTTCTCTCTCTCTCTCTCTCTCTCTCCCTCTCCCTCTCTCTCTCTCTCTCTCTCTGTCTGCTTCATGCATGCTCTCTCTCTCTCTCTCTCTCACCGCTCACTCTCTCTACTTGAAGATCTTGACTGTGAATACATCCGCTACTACTCAGCTCTATCCTCTACTAGTAGCTTTGCGGCTATGGCCACCGTCCCTCTCAGCACAGCAGTGCACGGCAGGGCTCTCGCGCATGCCACTTGCAGACAGCGCACAAGCGCTTCAGCAGCACTTCCACACTTCTCACGAATGAGCAAGCGCTCTGGAATGTGGATGGCCAGTCCTTATATTGACTTTGACCGGGTCTGGACTCGTCCCAGCCTCTGCTTCCTTTGGCTTGACTTGGATCTGGTACCACATGACCACGGCCTGTTTGCTTCAGAATTTTGAGACCTGGTACCTCCACGAATGCTGCTGCTTGGGACTGTGAGTCACGACTTTCCATCTGTGGAATGTGCCACTTTGTCTATGAGACATGACCTTCGCCTGTAGAATATGCCCTTTGACTTTGAGACGTGACTTTTGCCTATTGGTCATGACCCTTGCCTGTGGAATATGACTTTTGAGTCCTAGATGTGACCTTTGCCTATGGGATGTGACTTTTGTCCCTGGGATGTGCTGAGTAGCTGGAAGTTATTTCAACGCGGGTCCCGCGTTGAACCTTTCAACGCGCGTTGAAAACGCGGGGAAACTGCGTTGAACCCCCCGTTTATTGCGGTACACCACGACCGTGGAAGATTGTTTTCGCAGGCAAAAAATGAGCAAAAAACAAAAAACACAAAATATAGAGTTGTAGATCATTTCAATAGCCACAACCTGCTATTAACCTGCTATTTTTAGTTTTATTTTTTGAACATTCATTATATTTGCAAGGAATATGAGTGTGAGCGATATACAGAAAACCAACTTGCGAAATCACACAGATGTCCAAGTAGTCGTGTACAAGCAGAGAGCACAAATGCACCGAGAATCCATTCAAATAGAGCAATACAATGAAGTAATGACCCAATGTTCAAGCCCTCAGGCCACACCAACACAGTATCCAATGTCGCTCTTCTCTGTCTGGCGCTACCTACAGCTGTATTCACGCAACAGGCTCACTTCGACTCTCGAAGACCAATGTACATGATGTCAACACCATAGCCGACCTCGCTTCATGCACCAGATACATATCTCGTCACCCTCATCAGACCTTGACCACCCACACACTCGCCTCCTTCCTGAAGACCAGGAATCGCCCTCTTACCCCCTAGCGGCCAGCAGCCCTGCTATGGCTGCCCGCGCTCCGCTCCCCTGCAGCCCCCCCCCTCGCCTCAACGCGCCCCACCAGCACACTGGATGCAGCGCAGCATCTAATGCAGCAGCGCAGCAGCGTGACCGCATTGCCTGCGGGGGCCAGAATGTCCAGGCCCTGGCTGCTCTCCTTCCTATATGGAAGTGGCAGCGCCTGCATTGATGCATGTGGCCTGGCTGGAAGCTTCCAGTAGCTTCCTGTTGGGCCCCAGTTCCTGCGCGCAGGCCCGAGACTACAGTTGAGGGCCTGGGCACTTTACAGTTGGGCACGGCCTGAGTCTCTGGACTTGGGCCGTTTGCTGCATTTGCACAGGACCCGGGGTAGGTATGTCGACAGTACTGCTTTTGCCTAGGCCTGTGGCTACTTCGTGATGTATCGGCCCTGCTTTGTGTGTAGGTGCCCAGGCGCAACTGCCAAAGCTTGGGCCAACTGTACAACACAGCTTAGGGAGGCTCGCGCGTCCACTCAACCAACTGGCGGGCTGCAACAGCCTGAACAGTGAATACCATATATGGAAATGGCGAGTTTTGGCCTCTGATGAATATTCAGGCCCGCCTTCACTTAGGGCGGGCACTCGGCTTGCTGGGGGCCTCTTCCCAGAACATGTGTTTGTCTGATAAGGGCCCCTGTGAGGGCTCGTTCCTCGCATATTAAAAAAAAACGAAATGGGCGGGTTTTACTCTTTTTACAGAGATTTGTTTTGTGGGCAAAAAGTAAGAAAACAAACCACATGTTTTTTATTGTTTCATATAGGGTTGTAGATCTTTTGCAGAGCAACAACTCCATGTTTTTTATTGTTTTTTAAAAACTTTATATGCATTTAAAAAAAAAAAAAACATGATTATCAAAAACACACACACACACA